CTGTCACACCTCAGACTGCACCCCAAACTGCCCTCCGTCACACTCACAGTGCGTGAAGAGGAAGATCAGGACAGCACCAGGCCAGACGGAGTGTCCCCCTCCTGTCTGAAAGCCTGTGCTGGTCAGCTGGCTCCAGTCTGCACCAGGACCTTGAACAGGTCCCTGGAGCAATGTGAAGTCCCCTCTACCTTCAGACGTTCCACAATCATACCGGTTCCCAAGAAACCCTCCATCACAGGACTGAACGACTACAGACCAGTGGCTCTGACATCTGTGGTCCTGAAGTCGTTGGACAGACTGGTGCTGAGCCACCTGAGGTCCATGGTGGGTCCTCTGCTGGACCCCCTGCAGTTTGCCTGTCGGGCAAACAGGTCAGCGGATGATCCAGTCAATCTGGGGCTGCACTACATCCTGCAACATCTTGATGGTCCTGGGAGTTACGCAAGGATCCTGCTCATGGACTTCAGCTCAGCTTTCAGCACCATCATCCCTGGAATCCTCTCCACCAAACTCTCCCTCCTCAATGTGTCTCCATCCATCTGTCAGTGGATCACCGGCTTCCTTTTCAAACAGTGCAAAAGGAGATGGAATAAATAAGAAAACAATAATACTGTATACGTACATGTATATATACAAGGTGCAAAGTGACCGGTTGGACTGTATATTGCAGGGGTGTCAAATGTACGGCCCGCGGGCCGGATCAGGCCCGCGGACGGGTTTGATCTGGCCCGCGAGATGATTTTGGAAAGTATAAAAGTGAGCTGCAAATTTTTCCATGAAACAAACCACTGTTCTAAATGTGTCCACTGGATGTCGCAATAGCAATTTTGTTAAGCAAGCAAAACTCTTTACCGCGGCTTAGCAAGTACAGCTAATCTGGAGCTACCTCGTGTTGTACCTGCGCTTTTACATCTTCTACTTTGGACATATCGTACTTTGGCACCCTCAATACCCCAAGATGTCTCTGTCAAAAAAGAGAAAAGTGGACGCAGAGTGTTCCAGGAAAGATGGTCATCCTTCTATTTGTTCACTGAAGTGAATGGGAAAGCTGTGTGTTTGGTGTGTTCACAGCATGTTTCAGTGTTGAAAGAATACAGCCTTTGTCGCCACTATGAGACTCTTCATGCCAACAAATACAACAACCTTCAAGGACAACAGAGAAGAGAGAAGGTGGATGAATTGTTGGCGGTTGTGAAGAAACAGCAGTTCACTCATAGCTGAGAAGTCAGTGACGCTGCAGTGAAAGCTAGCTACCTGATTGCTAATGAAACTGCAGTTGCTTCAAAACCATTCAGTGAAGGTGAATTTGTGAAAACATGCATGCTGAAGGCTGCGGAGATTTTGTGCCCTGAAACGCGCCAGGCTTTTGCAAATATCAGCCTGACAAGAAACACAATTGCAGACAGGATTTCTGAGCTTTCGGCGGATTTGGAAAACCAGTTGAAGCGCAAAGTTAAAGTCATTCATTGCGTTTTCAGTTGCAATCGATGAAAGCACGGACATTACTGATGTTGCGCAGCTGGTCATATTCATCCGCAGAGTTGATGACACTTTGACCGCCACCGAGGTATTCGTGGAATTGGTGACGGACACCACAACAGCAGCTGATATTTTCACTGCGCTCGTCGACGCGCTGGACAGGCTCGGCGTGGACTGGTCCCGCGCTGTCAGCCTGGCTACAGATGGTGCGCCCTCAATGATCGGGAGAACGGCAGGTGTTGTGACAAAGTTCAGAGAAAAAGTGCAGACTGCAAATGGAGGACGGGATTTTTGGACTTTTCACTGTATTGTGCATCAGGAGGCATTAAAGATGGACAACGTCATGAAGGTGGTCGTCCAAACTGTTAATTTCCTCCGATCCAGAGGCCTGAATCACCGTCAGTTTGACAACCTTCTCAGAGAGAAACACCACAACTATGGCCTGCCGTACCACTCCGAGGTAAGATGGTTAAGCTGAGGTGCTGTGCTGAGGCGTTTCTTTGATCTTCTTGAGGAAATTGAACAGTTTACGGCAGAAAAGGGCAAACCAGTGTTAGAATTTCAGTCCACAGAATGGATGCAGGACCTTGTATTTATGGTTGATGTTACAGAGCACCCGAATAACTTGAACAACATGCTGCAAGGGCGCAATAAAGTTATCACACAGTGTTATGACAGCGCATGTGCGTTCAAGCTGAAGCTGTCATTGTGGGAGACCCATTGCAGCTGGTGATGCAGCTCACTTTCCTTGCCTTAAAGGTGTGTGCGCGACCCAACATGCCGCAGACATGAAGCGGTTCAAAGACAAAATAACGGGACTATTGCGGGAGTTTGAGCAACGCTTTCAGATTTTTGGTGAACTAGAGAAAGACTTCAAAGTTTTTTGCTCGCCATTCACCGTGAATGCTCCTGATCTGCCCGTCAACATCCAACATTCTGTCACGAGCATCAACGCTGCGCTCAAGACTCACGCACAACCACCTGAATAACATCCTGAAACTGGCTGCCACTCAGGATTCAATTCAATTCGCAATTTATTGTCCTTGCACATGTCACAAGTACAGAGCAACGAGAAGAACAGTTTGCATCCCATCCAATAAACATATAAAGACAGTAACACCAGGGGGAGACAGGAGGGGAGAACTGTCGTGTCGCCCAGCCTGAGCAGGGTCACCTCATAGGATAGGAAAAGGGAAGACAAGAGGGAAGATGAGGGGAATAAAGGCAATTCCCAAACTGGGCTCCTCTGGGGGGGGCACAGTGTGGGATTAGGAAAAACCACCTCAGCACATCAGCAGCATGATGAAACATCACAACAAGACTCAAGACTTGCACATGTGGGAGGGGGAGGGTGTTGGGGAGGGGAGGTGTCACAGCTCAGACACAGGTGTGACACCTGATGTTGATGCACTTGTGAAAGCTAAAAGATGGCCGGCTTCAGGAGTAAAATAATCAGTGGGTAACCCCACTTAAAATGTTGCATGACTCACTGCACCCTGATATAGTTCCATGAAAACGATTGTCTTCTGTGGAAATTTAAAGAAAGTGAACAGTGTGTGATTTACTGCAATCTGTGTCACTTCAGTTTGTAAGTTTGGTTTGTTGAAATTGTTCATGCATTGCACAGCTTTTATTTCTCTATCAGTAGTGTAGCCTTCAAGGCAGGAAGTAAATCAACCCTCTTGAATAGTTTCTACCTCGGTTTGTATGGTTTGTTGAGTTAGCACAGGATAATTTGTGGAAATGACAAATGAGGTATTTAATACCTAGAAGAGTTGTTTTATGTATGTATTATTTATTTTGTATTTTGTTCAATCCCAGATAGGCTGTGACTCTGAGACAGTTTAAGTTCCAGTCACTGACGCACTGAGTTCTTCAAACTGCACCAATTTTTTCCTCAGAATTTTCAACTAACTTGAAGTGTTTTGTCAAGAGGATTATTTGTGATGCGTACATTTTCTGATTGTGCTTGTACTATTTTGGACCAAATAAAAACAAAGAAAACAACCTGAAGTTGTTTTTAACTTATTGTGCCATGGTGTTACCGGTCTTTACCTGAGCTAAAGTGAGTTTGACAGCCCTGGTCTATTGAGTCTGTTGTTTCAGGTCCAGCAGGCGGACAGCTTGAGGGAAGAAGCTCCTCCTCATCCTCTCTGTGTTTGCCTTCAGGCAGCAGCAGAGAGAACAGTCTGTGGCTGGGCTCGGTGGCTCTTTGGCAAGATGTACAGATGATGGCTCAAACAAAATAAAGTATGAAACAATATAATTCAAATAAAACTCATAAAATACAAAACAACTAGATAAAAATATAAACAGTAAAATAAAGTAAAATTAAAATAAAGCTAATTTAAATAATGAACAATAAATAAAGATAATTTCAATATAGACTCAAGATTCAAGGTCTTTATTGGTGTTATAACGCAGTGAAATGCTTCCACACGAAACAATATTAAGAGATTAATAAAAATAAGAATAAACACTCATATAGGGAGAGAAAGAAAAAGGGGATAAAAAAAAATAAGCAAAATAAATAAATCAATAAAGCGATAGAAATAAGATAAGGACTAAAATTAAACTGAAACAAAGTCGAATATATATTTTTAAAAGTCTCTGTAACTAGTCAAATAAAACGATTTGTTTTACAGTGAAATGAACTCGTCGCTGTGTTTCCTGTAGCGGCCACGTGGCGGCAGCACCTCTTCTTCTGTGCCTTCTCTTCTTCTTCGTCTGCTGTTTCTTCTTCTTCTGCCCCGGAGGCGGAAGTTCCTTCCTTTCTTGTTTCTGCCCGCTAAAGAGACGCTCACAGGTGAGTCCGCTCGGAGTTCCATCCGCTTCTAATCTATCCTCCAGGTGACCATCCGCTCTTCTTACCTGCGTGTCGCGGCTCTACGAGGCCGTTTCACTCCGGTAAGGTCTGAAGTGTTCCTCCGTTCCAACGTTTTGTCGGTTTTTAGACGTTTTTCTCCGCCTCGGTCCGCCGCCATCTTAGCTCCGAGCGAAGAGTCCAGGACGCTAAAGCGGTCCAACTGCAGCTGAAGTGGTTCCATCGCGTCCCTCAGGTGTGTTTCAGGTTGTGTCCAGTCTGCGTGGAGCTGCAGGTAAAAGCTGTTTCAGGAGGAGCCGCGGTGCTCCGTAGAAGCTAACGGGCTAGCGTTAGCATCCTGCTAGCTGTCCCTGAGCGACACGTTTTAAGTCCTCCGGGTCGTGATCACAGTCAGAGTCAGTTCAGATTCCCCACACCGACCCTGAAACTCGCCTCTTACCGGCTCTCACGTGCTCACACCGGGGTCCGTCCGTGTTGATGCGCGAGCCGCCATGTGACCGGCCAAACCGCACGGTTCCATTATCGGACAGCCGGCACGTTTCTGCTCATGACGAAGCGCGCGGAGCTGTTGAGAGCCGACCAGCTCCACAGATCCAGAGTGGGAGTATCGGTTAAGACCAGAAGCTGGATGTGAGGAAGTCTGTGAGCTCCAGAGGCTCCAGCAGGCACAATCCATCATGTGTTCAGAAGGTCTTCACTGGTGGAGGCTGCAGCAGGGGTTCCTGCTGGAGTCTCTTCTGGATGAAAGGAGACCAAGTGGATCCGAGTTCTGTTAAGTCCACAGATCTTCATTTTACTGGAGGAGGAACAGAACCAGAATATGTTCCTGTAGACCACATCATTCAGACGTGATGTTTTGTTTCCGTTATAACAAGTTCAGAACCAGCCCGTCTATGGTCCAGCTAGGTTTGGAGCTGGAGGCAGAACAGGAACCAGATGTTGGTTTGATCACACAGACAGTGAATAGTTTGGTGTAGAACCTCTGCAGACGTTCAGCATCGTGGTCTTTTCTTTCTGTGAGTGTTGTTCCTGATGTGTGAGCCGAGCGGCGCTCTAACCGTCTTGTGCCTGCAGCAGAAGATGGCTCCTCGCAAAGGGAAGGAGAAGAAGGAGGAGCAGGTGATCAGCCTGGGCCCTCAGGTGGCCGAAGGAGAGAACGTCTTCGGAGTCTGCCACATCTTCGCCTCCTTCAACGACACCTTCGTCCACGTCACCGACCTGTCCGGGAAGTAAGTCACCGCCCAGCCGCACGCTCCCCCCGCCCGCCGCTCTCTGATTGGTCTAACCGCTGTCTGTTTCCAGGGAGACCATCTGCCGCGTGACCGGCGGGATGAAGGTGAAGGCGGACAGGGACGAGTCGTCCCCGTACGCCGCCATGTTGGCCGCTCAGGACGTCGCTCAGCGCTGCAAAGAGCTCGGAATCACGGCGCTGCACATCAAGCTGAGAGCCACCGGAGGCAACAGGTACCGTCTGCTCACCTGTCTGTCTGTCTGCTCACCTGTCTGTCTGTCTGTCTGCTCACCTGTCTGTCTGTCTG